GAAAAAAGCAAGCACTCAGAGTTGCTCCAGAACTACCTGTGCTCTTAGCTGCTTTAACATTACTTATGCTTCTTAAGCACTTGGCATCATTTGCTTTACCCTGCTTTCTTCTGCCCCACTGCCAAATTAAATTAGTGCTTTCTGTACAAAGTAAGGGAATTTGAGATAAATGCCAATACAGAACTGGCTCCTGCAAACAGCAGCTGAAATAATGCTGCCCACCAAGACACAAATGCACACTCTCATAATCTGTTTTTTGTAGACTGGAAGTTTGCCACCAGTGGTGAGCCACTTAAGAATCAACCTTGCAGTGCAGCAAATAGGTGCTAAGTAGGCAAAACCTACATCAATTCTTTCTATGTACACAATGGGAAAGGGGGAAGGACTGCCAGAGAAAACTAACTGCAAGGGTTCTACACCTTAAAAACTCAAACAAACCAAACTGAAACAAACCCACCTCACAAGCACACAGAAGAACCCCCAGCTGCATTTGTTAACATCCAAATCCAGTTACAATCTGTGTCTTCATTTTGAACTGAGAAGGTGGACACATTAAAAAACTGCCACCTTCCAATAACCTTAGAAACAATTCTGCAAAATACTATTAAAAATACTTGCTTATCAACAACACTAATTAATAGTGGGTAGTTTCTGGAGCAGCAAACCCCAAAATTCTCACTTGCTGGTCTAATTCAGTACAGAGAGAGCAGTACAGCAAACACCACAGAACTGAGTGTCACATACTTTTGCCCTGTTTCCAAAGGGATCCCCACCAACACTTGTGCTGCATTTCTCCAGTCTTCTTCTTTCTCATAGATTGATGCAAGATGTTGCCTTATTGAAGCCACCTGAAGGACAATAACATCAACAGCAAAAGTAGCCATCATTTACAGAGATTTTACAAAGGTGAAACAAATCTTGCAAGAACTGGAGCACCAAGAGTCATAAGCCATTTCTTGCAGTTACATCTCATATCATGCCTGTGAGGTAGGAATGACATGATCTGTGATTGGATCCTCATGAGAAACTTCTGCTTTGGAGAGCAGCTGTCAGCAGGTAAAGTATCAGTGCTTACAACCTGGGTTTTTAACTGGAAGTGTGGGTAAAAGCAAATAAATCATCTGATGTATTTGATTTAATTTAAGTACAATAATGATGACATACATGCAAGCCTGTTTAGCTCAGAGTAAAAGCTGCTTAAAAAAGATGAAGAGAAGCAAAATAAAAATAATGGCAGAAACTACCTTGACTTTCCACTTCTATACTAGATCCTAAGGATTTGATATAAACAGATGATACTGTGCATTTGTACAACAAAACACAGAACTGAACTGAAAAAGCAGAGCAGCATATTTAGTAGTTAAGCAGAGTAAGATTTCAAGAAAATATTTTTTCCTGGTAAAATGATTATGCCTAAAATAAACACAAAGAGAAAATTGATTTCTTTTGAAACAAAGCTGTTTTTCAAGGTGCATGCTCTTCACACCACCTGTCTGTTTCACTACTTGGGTAAAAGGCAATACAGTGAGTAGCAGCCTGTCTCTCCAGACACATCCAGCAGCTCAAGGACTGTTTCACTGGAACAAGCCAATTACTGGAAGCAGAGGAATTACATGTCCATCACCATGATGAAGTGACAGTCTGTAATCTTTGCACAGTCCTAAGTGCTCTCTCCATTTAGCTCAGGTTTTCCATGCACAGGACTGAAAAACTGGACTCTAAGTAGAAATATCTGTTTTGAGCAGCTTTTTGAAAGGTTTGAAATAGTCAGCAGACAAGGAGGGGAAAGACTAAAGCCAAACCCACAAGCCAAAATCAATTTCACCAGTGATGTCTCACCTGTTCTTCAAATGAAATAACTCTGGGCTGTATCTTTTCCAAGGTGAAGTGGTAAATTTCTTTGGCTGTGCTGTCAGGCAGACTTGGAAGATGTGTACAGAAATCTGTTAGCAGCTGCCGTGAGATCACCAGACTGACATTCTCATTCACCACTGGTTCAGAGGTGCACAAAAGTAAAACACAGAATGGATGCAGTATTTTTCAGTGCCTTCACTACAGGTCATAATTTACTTTTACATTAAATTTGAATATTTAAATTTTAAAAACTATGCAAGTGAAAGGGATTTTTTTTCCTTTTTTTATAAAGGTGGGTTTTTCTATTCTTTCAGAAACTGTTTACACTAGAGGTCACCAGAGTTCTAACCCCTGACAGATAAATGAATTGTTCACCTTGATTTACAGTTCTCAGTTGCTGAAATATCTTGGACAAAGTACTTTTTTGAGCTAAATCTCACTAAGCTTATTCTCAACTTTAAAAACATTATAGGAGATATAATTTACAGAGATGTTCCAAACACCCAGTACAACACACACAAAAAAAAAAAAAAACCCACAACAAAATCCCTAACAATTTCTTGGCAATTTTACAAATGGGTGAAGAAGGAGGCTGTCAGTTTAAATACCACTTGGCATCCAGTACCAACTCCAGCACTCCACAGAGACAGCTTTGTTTTCACCTTCCACTGCTGACAGGTTGGAAAGCTGCAATAACCACAAAGCTTACAAATCCATTCCCTCTTCACTTCTGAATGTGCCGGTGAGGGCTCCTCTTCCTGTTGAGTCTGAGCTCCAACAGGACAAAAATATATTGCATTTACACAGCTAACAAACACACAACCCCACAGACCTCTGGCCTCCACTCAGTGTACAACCACTTACACCACTTATGCACTTACTTGCTTCTACAAAAGCTTTGAGAGCTTCAAGCTGCTCCACACCCGACAGCTGAATGGCTTTTTCCAATATCTGACGGTACCTGTCCATAAATAAATTGTAAAAAGGTTAAAAATCACACATTTTTCCACTAAGAACTTCTGCCTCTTTGTGTACTTTCTATGTCAGAGCCCTATTTTTGCTCATAATTTCTATACCTTGAGGTGGCAATTCTCCAATTTGTTCCCAAGTGTCATAAACATTCACCTGGAATTGGTACCTAGCTCTTCTTAAATCCCAGGACTACATTCTCAGATAACACAGCTCAGTCATTTTGTTGTCTAAGAACATATGTGCAATTTTGGAAGTTTAAAACAAACAAATAATAATTAAATAATAATTTTTAAAATTATCAAATGCCCAGGATAGTGCATAGAAAAAGTAATGAAAACTGTGCGGCTCATAGATTCAGATTAATCAAGGTAGTCAAACATACAAAATGCCACATTTAATGTGACTGAGAAATAGTGTTGTAATAAATATTATGTTACAGCCACTTGACACCAACACAGCTGTACTCCACGTGTTTTCAAGCTGCAAAAAATAGCAAGTTCTCTTTTCTTGTTTCAGCAAGCTAACGAAACTTTGCCTCAGTGTGTGTGAAGTATTACATCCGCGTGGAAGCCACATTTTGAGGGGAAAATTTCCAAGGTTTCACACGAAAACCCTAAAAGTGACACAGCCCCGCTAGGACACAAGCAAGTGGCCAGGGAGCCAAAGAATTCCCGGTGACAGATCCGCACCTGGCGGGACTCCCGAAGCGAAAACCTCCGTGACACATCGCGCCACGAGAAGCTCAACCCCTCAGGGCTGCCGCCCAAAACACGCACCTAATGGCAACGGCAGTAATAAAATGGCAATAATGAAACGGCAATAACAAGACACTCGCTGGTACATCCACGGCAGCCGAGGAAAACAAACTCCCCGGCCTCTCGCTGTGGCACACCCAGGGACAGCAACCGAGCCCTGAGGGGACCGAGTGAATATGACCGTGAATGAAAAAACTACACAGCCATGAGGTGAGACCTTCCTGTCTCCTTTTTATTCGAAGAAACGCCGCCGCAGGGCACGACCCACCCTCGCAGCGCACGGCGCCCCCTCACCCTGCAGGCGGCTCGCACCCCTCGCCCCAACGCGGGGAGGCGGGGGCGGCGGCGCCCAGCAACTCACTTTCCGGCCAGGTCCTTGTGGGAGCCGCTGGAGTTCATCAGCTGCGCCAGGTCCTGCCTCACCGCGCCCGCCGCCATCTTGGGAGCCGCCTCCTCCTCCCACCATGGAGCCGCGCGCGCCGGCGGGAGGAGGGAGGGTGCGTGTCACGTGACGGGGAGCGCGCGCAGGCCGCGGGAAGGGGGGGGGGGGGCGCGGGCGGGCCGGCCCCGCGCGCGGTTCGGGGAGGGGGGCGGGGGGATATCCCACGGGGTTATCCCACGGGAATTACACCGCGAGTGGGACACGGCCGGGCCGGGCCAGGCCGGGGCCGCCGCCGCCTCCTCCTCCTCCGCGGGTGGTGCCCGCGCGCGGCCCCGGAAGCGACGGCGGGGCGGGGCGGTCCCGGAAGCGTGGGGCGCTGCGCCGGCGGTTGCCAGGGCGGCGCGGTATTATGGGATGCGGCGGGGGAATGGCGCGGGGCGCGTGATTTTGAACAAACGCGGCGGCGGGATCGGCGCGGGCGCGGCCGCCGCCGCCGCGGCCGCTGGGAGCGGCACCGGGGGGCGTCGGTACCGGCCGGAGGCATCGCTAGCGGAGGGAGGAGAAGAGCGCCCGCCCGCCCGGTGAGTGCGAGGGGCGGGAAAGCGGCGGCGGGAGGACAGGGAAGGGGGCGCGGGCACGGCTGACAGCCGCCTCCCGCCGGTAAAGAACAGGCCGGGCCTCGCCGGGCGCTCTCCCCGCGGCGGGCCGGGCTCCCGGCTGGCTCCGCCGGCCTCTCCGGGATAGCGCGGACAGTCGGTCCCGGCCGCCACTCCGCCGCGGGGGTGCCCGCCCGGCGCGTCCCCTCCCCGCCCCGCCGCTCGCCGGGGTCAGCTGCGCCCGGAGCCGCGGCGGAGCGGCGCGGTCACGGCGGCCCCGCGGCGCGGCCAGGCTCCCCCTCGGAGCGGGGTCTGCGCGGGAGCCGCCGGTGCGGAAGGGGTTGGGGTTCGCGGCTCGGGGGCGGCGCCGGGGCGGGGCGGCGGGGGCAGGTGCGGCGGGGGCGGGAGCGGCGGTGACGGGCTGAAAATGGCGGATCTTTCGAAATACGGCGGCGGCCGGCGGCGCTGACGGGCCCGGGCCGCCCCCGCCAGGTGAGAGCCGGCCCGGGGGCCGCGGGGGCAGCGGCCGCGCTGGCCGCACCGCGCGGGGGCCGCGGCCGCCGGGGCTCGGCGCGCCGGGCCCGGGGCTGGCGGGGCCCGGCTGCCCGGCCCGGGGACAGCCAGTCGGGCGGCTCCGGGGCCCGGGCGGTGTGCGCCGGCCGGGAAGAGCGGGTCGCTCCCGGGGAGCCGTGCCGGGTACGGCCGCGGCGGTGTCAGCGGGATGCTCGCTCCGGCCGTGCCCGCGGAGCGGGTGCGGTGCTTGCTCGGCTCAGCCCCTGCCTGGGCGCACCTGTGGCCCGAGCGCGCTGCCCGGCTGGGGACAGACCCCAGGGAATGTGTCCGCCTCTGGCCTCCGCAGTACGAGAAAAACAAGGAGCTCCTGGAGGGGGTCCAGTGGAGGCCACGAAAATGATGAGGGGTTTGGAGCATCTCCTGTATGAACAGAGATTGTGGGAGCTGGGCTTGTTTAGTCTAGAGAATAGAAGACTGATGTCATTAATGCATATGAATATCTCAGAAATGGGTGCCGAGAGGATGGTAGCAGAGTTTTTGGTGGTGCTGAGCAGCGGGATGTGGATAAGTGGCCATAAGGAAAAATACAAGAAGCTTCACCTCAGCATGAGAATGAGCTTTATGTTGAGGATGGCAGAGCACTGGAACAGGCTGCCCTGGGAGGTTGTGGAGTCTCCCTCGCTGGAGACATTTGAAACCCACCTGACCATGGTCCTGTGTCACCTGCTCCAAATGGCCTTGTCTTGTCAGGGAGGTAGGACTGGATCATTTCCAGGGGTGCCTTTCCAACTTAATGATTCTGTGAACGTAGCCAGACCATCTTTTGGAATAGTCCCATCTTTTTTTATCACCATCTTGCTTGTTATGAGGTATATCAGTATTTGGAATGTTTTAAATTATTTGTTAATTATATTAACTTTGAAGCATGTAATGTACTAATTATGTGATGCTTGATATTGAGGATTTGGGTTCTGGAAAGCCCTGTGGCATGGAGAGCACATGAAACTGCCCACTGGAATATACTGTAATCAGGAGGAAAGCTCTCAGACTTAAGATGTCAGGTGAGGAAAGGATTGATATTTAAATTACCATTCATTGGTTTCATTCTTCTGAACTGTTCCTTGAAATATATTGCAGTTACTGTAGGAAATACTGAGTATAGAGAAATAATTTGAAGTGTTCTTAGTAATGTTTACGTGAAACTGGCAGTAGCAAGTTACTGAATCACTGAGTATGTGGTTAGCTTCTTCACTATAGCTTTTGGCTTATTGGAGGCAAGAAGAATAGTGGGTTTATCAACTGAATATATTTTTTCTGTTAGTGGAATCTTTTTGTAAAATAAAATGCATTAGACTTGTCTTTTTTTTTTCTCTTTAAATTATTATTTGTCAAGACATCCAATTTACATATCTGTCATTGAGTTACATGTTAGTTACATGCCTTGTACTGAGTTGCACCAACCTAGAGAGAAATGTGTGGTTGTATTGCTCTGTAGGCCAAACAATCTTATAGGCTGGCTTGGAAAGTGTGTTTGGAAACACAGCCCAGGCTCCCTAATGGGATAAAAAAGTACTTCATGCTCCTTGTGATGGGGTAAGCTTTAGCAATTTGTTAGGCAAGGCTGCTTGTTCAGCTTACGTATCAAGAACTATCTGCTGATGTTTGGTTTGCTTATACTTTGATGTCCACGTTTAGAACTGAATGTTCTGAACAGTTCTGTCAGAATTCTTGAGGAGTTTTAAATGCTTTCAGGTGGAGTAGCTGCTAACCACAGGTGCATAAGAAGGGTGATGTCAGAATTCAATCTTAGAGATGTTGTTATCTCATACACTGCTATAGAATTTATTTTAGATTTGGAAAAACTGTCAGAACCCCTTGGGTTATTTTCTCTTACTTTTATTTGAAAAATGTTTTCAGGGGGCACTAAGGTAGATGGGGGGGTTATGTTTTGGTTTCTGCTTCATCAACAAACTGTGGTTCCTTATCTATCCCTTGGTGTGATTGTGCTTTTGTTCTCTATAGGTGCTATAGAGGTAACACACACCTGCTGTGAGAAGCACATCCTAATGTCCTGCAGAGGTTGTGCACAGGGTATGGTGGGCACCTTCATAGCAAGTACCTAGGAAGTACACTCAGGATTCTTCAGGTTTTTAATTATTATTCTTAGATTCTGGAGCCTCCAAAGATAAATGGAAAATGTTTCTTGAATTCTTGTTTCGAAGGTTTGTATTTTGCTAGGCCTTATATGTGAATAGTTTGGTTTCCTCAGTTGCTCAGAAAGCTGATAAGCAGCATGTGGCTTTCAGTACAGCCTGTGACTAGGCTCACCTGACAACATTAGAAGTCTGGAAAAGAATGTTCTTGCACAAGAAAGAGGGAGACTTGGGTGAAACTATTGTTCCTGTGAGAAGTCTTTCAGGTGTGATCCCTTGGTGCTGCTCTGGTGCTCACAGACTTTGAACAGAGCTGTCTCAGCACACTGACTCACCAGAATTTGTTTACTACTTTGTGGGTTAGTTTTCTTCCTGGGTTGGACACCAGTGTCAGTGGCATGGAGAAAATGGGTTTGTGACAACCTGCAGTTGGGTTTGGATGGCTTTGCTCCTGCCTGGCTCCTTTATCTGGGCTGCCCTTGCAGTTATACAGATGTTTCTAACACAAGGAGGGAAAATGGGTGGAAACAAAAAGGCAGATGCCAAAGGTGGACAGGAGACCTTTAGCAGTAGTGCTGGTTTAATACACACGGGGAATTGAAATATAGGGAAAGTCATGCTGCTGCTGATGTACACACAGAGCTGCAAATGCTGCTGTTTGAAATAACCATGCAATGAAGGTATTGCTAGGATATTGCTCACACTGAATCTTAGGAAGTTGTAGCAGGTGCTTGTTTTATTAGTGTATAATTGTCAGTTCGTTGACATGTAAGGTTTTTTAGATTTGCTTTTCCTTTTAAAATTGTAATGGAAGCCTAAATTACTCAGAAATTGCCGAGGGAAGAAGGATCTTCATAGCTGGTATGTGGACAAAGTTGGTTTGTTGGTTTTTTCTCTCCCCAGTCTTAAAAACAAATCACCTAGCACCTCTATAGTAAATATGGCAGTGGAAACATGAACTTAAGCAATCTTCCCATGGAAAAGAAATGGAACAAACCCAAAACCCTCAACTGTGTAATATAAAATTCTCATGTACATATCACTTGACAAACATGTAGGAGTTGCTAATTTGTGTACCTTGCCCATTGTTCTGATCTGCTGCACACAGTTGTTTGTGTGGTGTCTCAGGCAGTGAGCAGTCACTTAGCAGAATGTAGAGTGATGGGAAGGGAGTGCTGTGCGTTGGTTGAGGGAATTGTGGTTGCCTTGGGAACTATTTTGTGACTATAGATGGTTAATTTGTGGTAGAAGAACACCTGGTATTTTCTTAAGTATTCCATGTAACTGTTGGAGAAAAGACTGGATACTTACCCTGGTTATGTATTCAGCATTTGATAAGGAGTGAGGTTGAGATGTTTTCCTTGCTATGGTTTGCCATTGGTATTGTATTTGATAAACCTAGAGCCATGATCCTCTGGGAAGCATGCAGACAAACTGCCTGCATGACTTGTCTTATGTGGAGACTGGGAAAGAGAATGGAAATTATTTTGTCTGTTTTCCACATACCTATTTTGTTACTGTGTTAAAACTATTTGCTTTCACTCTGCTATTACATATGCAAACATGGTGAGTTTGTGGTCTTAGATGATTAATTTTTCCACTTACCCTTGTTAATCATAGCTTTCTCATGGATTCATCTTTTTCTGGTTTCATGACACGCATTTTGTTAAAGCATCTCTAGCTCAGTAAGCTTAAACAAAAGCCTCTCTGTTGAAAAAACACAGTGCTGAGTGATTTTGTAATTCTTTGCTTTATGACAAAACAAACTTTTCAGTTTTAGAGATAAAACATGGAGTGTCAGAGAGAGTAAGAAAATGGGGAATGCCTAAAATGAATGACACTATTTTCCCCATTATTGGAAAAATAGCAAAATTGAAGAATGGCAGTTAATTAGGAGAAATGTAGTACAGCAAGATCACCTACGTGCAATTGTGCTCTTTCATTTGACAACATGCCAGCGGAGCAGAGTGAGTCTTGATTATACATACCCTTCTGTGGAGGCTTTTCTTACAAATGAATGAAAGCATATCTGGTGTCAATAGTTTCTTAAGAACTGCATTTCCTATTTTTTTTTTTTGTGTTGTTCTTTGTGAATTTCAGTTGCCTGGAATAGTTGATGTGCTTGTTTGTATTTGTCAAAAAAGGATGAGAGAACACAGCAAATAAGGAGATTACCTAGCCTGTTCTTTAGTTTGTTTTGCTTATAAAATGACCCAATAAAAGGATTTGTTTCTCTAAGATTTATTTGTTTTCCCCTTGAAATCAACTTAAGCAAATAAGTTATCTTCACTTCCTAAAGTGTGACTTGATACTACTTTGCATAAGTAGATGTTCTAAATCCTTTGCACTAGCAGGCAGTCAAGAATCTCTGGGAACTATGAACCTTGTGCTGATATGCATTTTCTTAAAATTAGTTTTCTCCTTGCTGGGAGAATGCCTGGACCATTAAATGACCAGTGGGTGTTTTTCCATTTGCAGAGATTAGTTTTGGTGCCAGTGCTGTGAACTGGCTACCCTGCAATGACCAGCAAGGCTGTACTCAGTTTTGCTGTCAGTGATATTGGCAAAGTTTGTCACTCTCATTTCTTGTGGACAAAAAAAAATTGGATTTCCACAGCAGAGAAGCAGAAAATAGGCAAAAGGGAGGCTACTTGTGAGATTTCACTGTCGCTATTGGAATGACTGGGAAAAATAAGAACTCATTCTTTCTTGAACAGGAAGGTGAGTTTTTGTGTTATGTCAGCAAAAAGAAATAGGTTGAATGAAAGATTTTGACAAGTTGAATGTCCTGGATTCTTAACAAAAATTCTTAATGACATTGATAAATGCAGATGCTATAGAATTTTGCAGAAAGACATCCCACAGTTATTTTCAAGTTCTGTTTCTGCTGCTGGCTTGGTTTCAGTGGACTTTACAGTTTGACACAGAGCACTTAGGGTGTGTGTCCTGAGCTGGATTGTGGGTGAATTTACAGAGTGACAGCCTCTGGTTCAGGTGTGTCCAGCTCTTTGTGGGTGTGTGGTGCTGCTCACTGTGCAGTGATGAACCAGGGCAGCTGAGTCACACAGAGAACCTGCCAGGCTGCAGGTCAGCTCCACTGTCCTGTCATATGTTAGTCACTGTTCATCTCCAGTCCTCAAAATTATGAACTGACAAAGGTGTCAAAAAAAAAAAAGTTGGCAAAAGCTTCTTTTGTAAACACAAATTGGTTTTAGATGTAATAAAGAGCTAGATCTTGCTACATTGAAAAAGCCAAACAACTTTTTGCATGAAAAAATACAGTTAAGGCTTTTCATACTGTTTCTTCACTTAGGAATTCTGAGAAGGAGATGAACATTCTGGATCTGTATCAACTCAGGCAATGTAGTAGTGACTTGTCCAACGGGTGGTTGATTGTGTTTGGCATGAAAATCCAATTTGGAAGGGTATCCTGTAAGGACAGATTTGGGGCTTTTCTCAAGTCCTGCTGCTTGTTTAGGTATTAGGAAAGGGTTCCTCCCCCAGAGAGTGATTGGACACTGGAACAGACTTCCAGTGAGCAGCATGGAGAGTGCATCCAAAGAGCTCTTCTTCCTAAGTGGCCTTGGCATGTTGTGTGGAATAAAGCTTCTCCAGGGGTGGAGTAAGATACAGTGTCCATATGTTGCCGTGTCACTTTCAGCGTATTGAAGCCAAGGCTGTAAGAGATACAGTGTAGTCCTAGTCACTGAAATGTTTCTTTCTGGCTAGTCCTTTCCGTAAGTTTTTGGGGATTTTTGAAGCGCTTATTCAAGGCTGTTGGTTTTCTTACCTACAGCTGATGAAACTTACAAGTTTGTGTTTCAGAAGCTCTTCAACTTGTCATGTTACAACACATGAGACTTCAGAGGTCTGAGCAGCCTGCATTTGAAGGGACCCACATGGTACTG